TTCTTTGTATCTTCCTAATATGCTCTGGGAGTCTAAAGTTGTCTGGAGGATTTAGCGAGAGTCAGGGTGGCAAAGTTAAATTCAGTGCTCCCAAGTATTGATTTAAAACAGCATGTCTTACGATCTGACATTTTTACTAAAATATTTTTGTCTGCCATTGTTCACTGTTTTTCATAGCAATTATTCAGTATATTACTTACACAATAGCTGTTGGACAAGGGACATGTATATTCATACATTAAGACAGAACAGCTACAGATCCATTGTGAGTCTGTGGGACTTGAGAAGAAAATGATTTTCAGGATATTTAGAATGATGGAGAGGTGAGGTGATTCAAAGAGGAAAGCAGATACAAAGGAGGAAGGAAAGAAGGGATTAGACTGGCATAGAGTGACACATTTAGAAACTGGATGTTACAGTCATAAATGAAAGGTTGAAATTATTAAACATAGTAGTTTTGTGTAGGTGACCAACTGCTCTTTAGGTGCTGCAGAGATCTATAAAAACTGTGAGTTACTGGTGAGTAAGAATTTTGAATGAACTGCACAGCTGTGAGGTAGAAAATGCATTGTAGAAGTTCACAGGGCACGGAAGTGAATTCACTATTGTGAGAGAGAAGGGATACGTTTTAACGATGTTGTGGACTAAGAGACAGAAATTGATATTAGCATGGATCATACAAAGTGTCCAAAATGACTAGGAGATAACAGCAAATTTTATTTTTGTGTAAATTCTGATATTTTTTTCACACCAAAATATTCTACCCAGTGATCTACTGTTGAATTAGAAAGGAATTATCTTGCCCTCCTGTCATAATCCTGTTTCCACCATTAGCCAAAGGAGTGCTGTAAGATTCAGAAACATGTAGACATTTGTTCAGAGTTGTGAGCAAATTTTCAAATGTGGATAACGGCTGCTTTGGCTGGAAAGCAATCACAACATTTCTTCCACATTTTTTCTACTCTAGTGCTAGAATACTTTCCTTCTTTAAATCCCTTAACTCTCTGAGAAAATTGTTTAAAATGCAACCTAAATAAAAATTGACATGTTTTGAAAATTTTTAACTGGAATGCTGCAGGTTAATTTCTTTCCCCTTAAATTTGCAACAAAGCTATTAACTATGTCCAAAGGCAGTAGCTGTATTTATAGATAGCCTGTTCTCAGTTTAGTAGTCACAAGAAAGACTTCTGCTCCTTCTGTCAGGTATTCCAACACTATTTACTTCTTCCCTTTGTGACTAAATCCGACGCTGAAGTCAAGGAAAAAAAACCCCTGAGTTCTGTTTGTATTATTGAGAGACTTCCCTGTTCCTAATTTCACAAACATAGTTATTAATTTTTTGCCTAAATGACTTCTGTAGGATCCTGATAATGCAAGCCAAATGAATCAAGTCACCTGTAATAGGGGTGAGATTTCAGGTGCATTAAATTAATTGCTTTGCAACAGTCTGGTAACTTTTAACTTGCATAGTACTTGCCTGTAAAATTTGTTTTCTTAACAAATTTGTTTTCCAGACAGCTTCATTCAAGGGTCATGTAGCTGTTTGGGTAGTTCTTCTTGAAACAGTAACTGGTCAAGTGTTTTACTTTTGTAGTATTTGCTATGCTCTTGCTTACTAGCAGTTTGAAGTCTTTCAGCAAAGCTAGATACAGTTTAATGGCATGTAGTGAAGCATGTATTTGTAATGACATATGGTGGCTGTAGCTTCATTGACTGAGACATGTATTAACAGTGCTAAGTTTCAGTGCTGAGGTGAGCTGCCATTACATAGGCTTTTGGAAATTACTTTTAGAATAAGGAATGGCAATGTGGTGACACCACTGTACTAATTAGAAACAGGAAAAAAGCTTCATGTTGTCTCCAAATAAGAGCTTTGAAGAAGAGCTTTGCTTAAAAGCACATTTTATAGGAATACTTGGGGGGGTTTATGTTTCTGTAAGTGGGAAACACATTACATGAAGTTACAGCATTTTTATTGGCTATTTGAAAACAGAAGTCTAAATGAGAACAATCTTCTAATGGTCTTTGGTTTTCTTAAGATTCATTAATCTTAAATGGTCTTCGTTTTTCAGTGAATTTCTGTGAGAGTATTTTGGCTCTCCAAAGTACACTGACTGTTCAAACACACACTTGCTGGCACTGTCTCATAGGCAAAGGTTTATCCTATGTTACTGTCTAAACAGATTTTATTAATTCCTTAATTACTGTCCATGGTCTTAAATATATATATATAGGTATGTGTGTATGTCTAAGCATATAGTCTATTTAAATTCTTTTAAAAACAATGTGGATGAAGGGTTACATGTATGGAATGTGATTATGATTTGTTGTGACACAAAAAGGTCCATTAAGAATGCCAAGTATAAACATTCAGTATTTTAAAATAGGAATCTCTTTTGAAGAAAACTTTTTTATAGCTGGATCGACATCCATGATTTCACTTTAAAAAAAAAAAATCAACAGTCTGAACCTTATACAGTCAATAGGAAGGTTAAAAATTACCCTTTCCTATTCGTGTTTGTGTATCTAAACAAGTCAGCATTGGTGGTGTTTGTCTCTTAACGTAGTATTTTTTCCAGTTATCAAAATAGAGATGCAAAAGCTGAGTGCAAGCTGAATATAACTGGGTGTAAGGAAAACCTAAGAGTGATGTGTAGTTCTGGAGGCTCAGGTTAAGAGATATGAGAGAATAAAAAGATGAGACATTTCTGTCCCTTAAAGTAAGATTGAATGTCAGGTGTTAATGTGGGAAATCGCTGTGTTTTCAAGGTCGGTCATCATGAAAAGATTTAGGAGAGAGGTTGAAATATAGTTTGGAACTATTGAAAGGACTCTTGTCTTCCAGACTTGCCTTTGCTTCCTTTCCTTCCTTTCTCTTTTATTATCAGCATTTTATCTAATGTTTTACTCTAATATGAATTACATTTTCTTTGCTAGTGTCCTTCCATCGTTTGACATTGATCCAGGGCCCCTTACTGGTCAGTGGCATAGGGTTACTGCAATTTCCTACCTCTGTGCCTTTAATTTTTCTGAAGGGAAAGCCATTCCAGGGCTTAACGTAATGAATTTCTAGTTTAGATTTCCAGAGAAAATGGGAACTAGAATTCTGCTTTATCTTAACTAAGAAAATGTTGCTGAATGCCCCCGAAATAGAACTGGCATTTTCCTGACCAGATTAGTGTGGTGTTCGTTCATTTCTATAAACAGTTTTAATGGAGAACTATAAATTCAAACTGATTTAAACTTAGGAATTAATGATCCATGTTTCAAGATGTACATGTGGGAGGCAAGCAAGCCAGGTATTTCCACTTGGCTAAAAGGGGACAAGATTTTAATTTGCTCCATGTTCACATGCCAACAACACCTTTTGTATCTGCCTTCTGAGTAAGGCACCTTGTTTATGGTACAGAATTTCACCATGTACAGAAATGCTTTCTGAATGTTCTGTTCAAACAGGACAAAAAAAGCTCTGTGATAGGTTTAATTTTATGTGCCTTGTAGTAAATACTGAATTTCGGAAGTATGAGATTATTTTTTTTTCCAGTTATTGCAAGTGCTACTAATGCCCAGCAGGAGTGATTCAGAAGCATGTTAAATGAATATTTTTAGACATTAAATCGTTTTTAACCACTGCAACCACTGAGTTGATGGTACATGTGCAAAGTAATTTAAAACAGTTAACAGGTATAAAACAGGTTCCACTTGGCAAGTTGCTAGTCAGGAAGTTGTTTCAGCTTGTACATGAATTACATGAGAAACTTGAAAAGGATTATCCTTCCCCTCTTTCTCCTACCAAGACCAATAGCTGTCAAAATGTGTTGTTTGGGATTCATTGACTGTCATGTAATTGATGTTTAAAATTTAGGAGGAAAATTAGAACACAGGTTGATCACTGAAAAACAAAGCATGTAAAAGCTCATGTAATGAACAAGGCAAAATCTCCAGATCAAGTACTCAATTGATACTCTTTGAACTGCTCTCAGAAGGAGAAGAAAAAGGAAAAAAACCCACTAACCCTGTTCAGTGTTATTCTTGTTTTCTAATTCTTCCATTTTGTATCACAGAAATTAATCACATAACAAACACAAATATGCTGAAGATTTCCTGTCCTAACTCTTCTATGAAGGGACCTAATTCTTCATGGAAAAAAAAAAGCAGATAACTTTAGCAGAAGATATGTAGCCTGCCTGAGAGTCCTGCTTGGTTGTTCTTAACATCTTCCTCATGATATGTATGCGATGAACTGATATTCATTGGTCCAGTAGCCAAAATGAATAATTGGAGGAAAATTAAGAAGGTGGAGAAAAAGGAGAAGAGTTAAAAAGGGCTTGTTGAGACAAAAATGTGTTTGTATTTCTATTTCTATGGCAACATACTGCATTTTCATTTGAAGGCATTAAGCTGATAGTGCTTCAGGTACCCAGAAACTCATTCCCCTGGGATATGAGATCTAAGATCTCAGACTGATGTTGAGTAAATGTTGAAGTCAGAACTCTCTTTTCTAAATTAATTCCCTGAATCATTGGAACCTATTTTTTGAGAAATCATTTTATTCTCTGATTTATTTTCTTTTCTGGAATGATGTTGTTCTTGGGGAGGCACAAAGAAAGGAATTGCATTATTGTATAATCTATAGCTTCATAATTTACAGTGAAAGTATGTTTATTACAAACAACAGATTTTTCCTCTGGTAAAGACTAGTATGTTTCTGGTTTTGCCTCAGATGAGTGTTTGGCCTTCTGCATTTCTCTCCAGTGTGTACTCATATTTCAGAAATAAAAAGAAAATAAGGTACAAAAAATAGGTTTGTGATAATGGATCTTCTGAACTATAAAAACATCTTTTGGTTTGACATATTTTGTACACTTTTTTGGGTAATATCCTTAAACACTGTGGAGTGGTTGCAGTATTTTGGTTTTAGCTGTGCTTTTTTAGGTATGGTTTCTTTTTTAACCCAGGGAAAATGAGGTGTAATTATATTGTTTTTTCTGTCCTGATAGACAAGCCAGTCTCAATGAAGAGGCTGAGAAGTATTATGAAATGGCAGCAGGATTAAGACCTAATGTAAGTACCTTCTTAATGATATCCATTACTTAAATTGATGAATGTGCTGCAGCGCTGAACCCTTTGTGTTGAGGAGAAACTTCTTGATGGAGCATTTGATCTCTTGGCCTATGTTATATTTGGAACCTTGAGGTTTGGAAAGCTTGCCTAAATTCAGCTATTTTCACTAGTAAAAGAGAATGAAAGGCTATTCTGTGATCCACTGTTTAAGGCATTTTAAATAATAGACATGCCTTTTTTGCTGTCATGAACATTTGGCAATTGTTGTTGTTCAACAAACTTAAAGATGATTTTACCTCAGAGGTATTTACCTCTGAGGTTGTTGTACTTTGTCAAAGAAAGGCTTATTCCTTGAAGCAGAAATATGTAGGACTATGTGACAGTCCCTTTTTAAAAAGAAATGCGCATTTCAAATTTTATTGCATCAGGAACTAAAGGGATAAAATATATTTTTAACCGTTTTTTACTCTGTGTTATATTTCTTTTCAGTTACCTTCACATTTTGTGAAAAAAAAAAATCATGAATATAAATGGGGCAGAATTTATTTTAAATACCTAATACTTTGTCTATGTAATAAACCAAATCTAAGACATGTTTCTGTCACAGAAATCTATAGTGCTAAATTTGAGGATACGTGTTAGCATTTTCAGTCAAGAAAAAAAAAGAAAAAAACCCAAATTAAAAAAAACAAAACAAAACAAAAACAACACACACAAAACCAGAAAAAAACCAAACACACAGAACCACCAAAAACCAGGCTTAAAAGGGAAGACTTTTCAAGTCTAAGAATCAAAATAACACCAGCTACAACTCAAAACAAGCTAACAAAATATTATCCAAATCAACAAAACAACTTATTCATATGAAATTACACACTTTTCATACCGTATCTTAAAAAAATCCTCTAAAATCTATTTCTTTAATTTATATTTTCTGAGATAACATTTTAGACTTTTTGATTCTTTATGCTTCCAGATGCAAGACTATTTTATTTCTGAGTGGATACCTTAATGTTGAAAGAATTCCCTCAGTGGCCTCAAAGTTAGTACAGTTCCTCTTCTCTTTTCTGTAGTTCATTGTACTCTCAAAACATTTTTCAGAAACTCAGAAATGTATTTATTCTTCTATAACCATATATGAATATAAGCATGAGGTTTCTCAGAGAGCTTTGGGAGTAACAGGACTTCTAGCTCATGGCAGTGGTACTATGAAAGTTAGGTATTTCTAGGTATTGCTGACAAGATTTACATGGTAAGACCTAAGTATCTTTTGTAGGATAAGATCATCAGGACAGTTTATTGTAGCAACTTTCTTATAACATATTTATTGAATCAGTGCTACTGAACAACACTCGCCCAGCTTGACACCCAAGCACATGCCATTATCACCACATTACTGTGGAAATAAACAGGAGAAAGCACAAAGCACAATGTTTCTGCATGTATCTTCTTAAGCAGTGTAGTTCAGAGCGACTGTGTGCTTTTGAAGCACATCCTGCAGACATCTCCACTTACTGCATTCTGGTTCACGTCATAAAGTAGTCTTGTATTGTACGAATGGGATTCCTTTGGTAGGAAACTAAACCGAAGATACATCCAGTATACTCTAGCAGTTAATGGGGCGATAGCCCAGTCCAAATTAAAACCCATGTATTGCTTGGCCATGGTTACCTTAGCACTAAATTGTTTTGATTTTTATTGCACTTTTTCGTGTAGACATATCCTTTTGTCTAAGTAAAAACTCATAGGAGGTCATGCAGCTATTTCTGGAGGTTTGTTGGCCCTGGGAATTCCTCATACGGAGAGCAAAACATGGTTTTAACATTGAAGTGAGTGGTAAGATGATCATCTTGCATAGAAGTGTAATATTTTACTGATAGTGAAAGATATGTGTGTTTTGGAGGTAGGAATACAGCTTCCTTCTTTCCTCCCTCCCTCCCCCATTCCTGCTTTTCTTATAAGGATTTAATTTCCTTAATTTCTGTCGACTCTGAGGGTTCTTCAGTATTTTCTTTTTCATAGAAAATATGTAACAGTTTTTCCGATCATCAGTCAAACTTGTTCATAATTCTTAGCTTATTATTCCACATTAAAATAGTTGTTCTCTGTTTAGAAATAGTTGTATCTTGGTATAGAATTACTATGTACTTAATCAGAACAAAAATTAATCTTGCCTTTTAAGATTGAAAACTAGTAAGTACTGCTGTTCAGCTTTCTTTAAGAGATAATTTCACTTTTATCTTCAAGATGATAAAGTTTAACTTTCTGGCTAAGCATAGTATGCCTATGGTTCATGAGTTTTTATAAATACTTTAATGATGCAGACTGGGAAAGAGATATCTGTTTTCATTGCCAGCATCAAATGTTAGATGACTATACAAGGGCAATCTCTTGAGAATGCAAATCAATGGAAAATTTGTCAGCTTTCTCATACATACCTTTTTTCTTCTTCTTAACTCTCAGATTTACTGTAGTAGTTTCGGAATGTACGGAAAAGAAGCCACTCGAGGAGATTTTCTAAGTAGTAAGCAATAAAATGCAGACATTGTAAGACATATTTTGATGAGTATGGAATGCAAACTAGTGAAATTCTGTGTACTTTATAGCTATTATACATCTGCACTGGTAAATTAAATTTGCCCAGGACTATTCTCTAGTGTTGATCCAACTGTCTTCTCAGAGTGTGCCCAGGTACTGTCTGAGACTGCAGGGTCCCAGTCCAGAGCTCTATAGAAACCAATCTCACAACTTGAAAATGTAGAGAATGTATTTCTAGTAGCCTAAAATGTTCCTTGCCCACAGTTTCATTTATTTTGGATATAGCTTGTGTATCCTCCCATTACCTTATGAATATAAAGGATCAGCAAAATTATCTGAGTCAAGATGTTAAAGAAATGCCTTGACACAAAATATAATGCATCGCTAATGGTCTGGCAACATTCCTTTGCAGAAAATTCAAAATGCTAGATGTATGAATGTGGTGTAATGTTCAGATGCATGCATACACATAGTTCCATATATATGACATGTATCTGTATGTATATTTGTTTAATATTAGTAGCCAAGAAGTCTCTTCCCAAATTCCATCTCTGTGAGAATACTGTGGCAGTACTGAAATCTCATTCTGTGCAGTGTATCAGCCTTGTTCCTAGAACAATTAAGTGCTAAAAGCATCTATTTAATAAGAAACTTCACCTTTCTGGTGCTTGAGACTGTACCTGTTAATGTTAGTGAATTTTGGATCAGGATGCCACATAAACTGTCTTTCTCTACTTTTTTTTTTTTTCAGCATTTTTTTTTCCCCAGTGGTTCCCCAGTCACTCCTTCATATCCCAAGATGAAGATCCATTTCTCTGTTACCAACTCCTTTCTTATGCACTGTACCAAGACACCTAAATTATCAGTTGTTCTGTAGAATTAGATCCATGCCTAGCTCCTGAAAGATTTTCAGTTAGTGCAGCCTGAAACAAAACTCAGATTTCCACTCTCTTACAACCATTTCTTTAAAATTTTACATATTGTGTAGTACGTCTAATATCACTATTATCAAATACCATCCTTAGCAGCAATAAGAGATGTTAGTAATACTACAAACTCAATCTTTTACTGATCATTAGTGAATTCAAATGCTGACTGAGCCTTCATGATACAATTTTGTTCTTGGCATTCTCACTCTGTTTTGCTTTCGCATCCCTTTCTTTGATTTTTCAACTGTTCTTTTTGCTTTTGGAATGCAGCAACACTTAATATACAACACTTCCTCACCTGCTTCCCAGTGTATAAACTCTTCAGATCCAGAAGTTGCCCTGCTGAGCTTTTCTATGCCCAAGTCCAGTTTAAATGGCCATCTGAGTTATGACTTTCAGAGCTACTTAGTTGGCTATTTCAGTGTTTATTCCAGACAGCAGACTCCACTCTTGCTTTTGTCTCCTAAACAAGCCTTCTATTTCAGTGTCTCAAGACTGGCGTGCAACAGTGCGCAACCAACATACCTTCATGTCTGAGTCACTTTCTGATTTAACTAAACTATTTTTATAAAATTCATTAAAAAGGAGGCTAAAAACATCCCCAGAAAAGTAGTATTCAGTTACAGGAGAAATAGAACTTCTCTGAAACATGCAAGCCCTTGGTTTTAAGAAAGCAAAAGTATAAATATTTCGTTTTTGTAGTATTGGGGGTGATTCATTCATCATTGAACTAATTCTGAAAGGACTGAAAAATACTGAAAATGTAATTTAATTTCTCTATCAAAAGCTTTATTACAATGAGAAAACTATTTGCAAAATAATTATACCTGGTGAAAGAACAACTGACCACAGCATGGGTGTGTTCATAGAATCATAGAATGGTTTGGGTTGGAAGGGACCTTAAAGACCATCTAGTTCCAACCACACTGCCATGGGCAGAGACACCTTCCACTAGCCCAGGTTGCCCAAAGCCCCGTCCAACCTGCCCTTGAACACTGCCAGGGAGGGGGCAGCCACAGCTTCTCTGGGCAACCTGTGCCAGTGTCTCACCACCCTCACAGTAAAGAACTTCTTTCTTATATCTAATCTAAATATATATCCACTTCTTGAAATCATCTCCACTTTTGGATACAACTTCATTCTGCAAAGTGTTAAAAGAATTAAAGCACTTTGGTACAATAGCTGCACCAGCTGAAATGCAGCTTGGGTGCAAAGAAAAAAATGAATCTAACTAGTATCATTAATATTCCAGATTTCGACCTGTTCTCTTAATAGCGTTGATTGGCCTTATTTGCAGTAGGTGCATATTTATCCTCTATGAAAGTAATTTCTAGCAAAATTTCAGAAGAGCAGTATTTTCTGTAGAGTATAGTGCTGCTGTGAAGATGGGAATCATTTGTCTTAAACTTCACTGAGGAAGTAAGCATTTTCAAGATTATGTCTATTTATTTCCAAATGGACTTCACAGTGTCGACTTTCCCCTGGACAGCCAAGGAGGAGAGAGGAATCCAGGAAGCAGTTTGGAGAGGGAAT